ATGGTGAAAGAAATTGTGGAAGCCCTCACAACCGAATTTGGTATTAGGTACCGAGACAACACTGCCTTTGGTGCAAGAGATGCAGTGTACCAGTTGGTTGTCAAGAACTCGCTCCAGACCATTCGCAAGAACTTCAACAAGCCAACCAACAAGAAACTCAAGGATAAGCGTCTATACTTGAACGAGAACCAGATTGATGGGAGCTGCAAGCTTTTAGGCGGAAGGAGGGTGGGCAGCGACATTGCATTCTCATACCACAACATTGGGAATCTAGACAAAGCATGCAGTGTCCTAGCTGGCGTCAAAGGTAAAGTCGATATGGTCAAGAGAGCTTCAGAACGGGCATCAACTTGCGGTGCATCTAGAAGATCATCAGTCGAGAGTGCGGAACTGCCTCCTCGAAGAGCTAAAAATCAGAGGAAAACGCCCTCCACATCAGCTTTCTCTTCCAGTTCCTCTAACAGCAGCTCTTCTACCAAGATATCTTTATCTAGCCAGCATGATGATCCGGATATTTGCTGTGCCGCTTCAAACGCAAGCACCATTTGCTCCGACACATCCCGCCATGAGAATTTGCAAGCTGCCCCGCCCACTCAAGAGATCATACCCCCCAGCAGTAACGATTTCTCCGAGTTCATGCCATTCACCGGTGATGTTGGAAACACACCTAGGACATTTCAAATGAGTGATACAACCCTTCCAGAGCTTATTTCCACCGAAGAATGCATTGCCCTCATTGAACAAGGCAATGTGGGCCTTGGTAATATACTACATGTTGCGTTGATGTCTTTTGTTGACAGCCCCCATTCTAACCATGCTATGATCCTTCTCCCCTCCCAGTTCAGCGGCGTGTAGACCAGGATAAGTACACAGCCATAGGCAATGGGGACATGCACCAGAAGCAAAACAGTCAGTCCCGAATCTTCTCTAGTACTACCTGTCCACCACCTCCGCAATTCCAGTCAAGCTTGTTCAGGGAGCAGGACTCTGCTCTGTTCAGATGTGACAGCTACATCAACCATCATGGAGGCCCTGGCCCGTCTGACAAGGTATGATATTTTGCTTTCCCCTTTCGTCTAATGATGACCAAAAATTACACTGCCTTTTTTTTTGACAATGTAGGTGACCTTGGAAGAGATCAATAGTGGCATCAAAGCTATCCAAAATTCAGTGCTGACCCTTTCCAGTCGCTTGTCCACTGCAGAAAAGCAGATTGAATTCTTGCACAGTGACCAGAAAGGGACCAGAGGGCGAGTGCATACACTGGAAACAGACAAAGGGACAGACAGTCAGGCGCAAACACAGCAGCTCTTACAAGAAGCTGCCGCCAAAGCTTTAAAGGGCCTTCGAAAGGCGTCCAAGGCCACTGTGAGTGAAGAGTAGAAAGGCCATCTCGACTAATGCTGTGGCCTGGATTCACTGACTTCACCCCCACCCCACACCCCTTGTCGTCTCTTGTTTAGAGTGCAAAAGATGGGTCTTCTGCTACTTCAGACAAAAGTGTGAGTGCTCATGTATGTTTCTCTCCCCCATCATGAATCACTCTCTAACAAAACAGTTGTACATTACACAGCAGAAGGAGAAGAAGAAACAGGCAGAAAAGGCAAAAGCTTCAGACAAAAGTGTGAGTGCTCATGTATGTTGCTCTCCCCCCCCATCATGAATCACTCTCTAACAAAACAGTTGTACATTACACAGGAGGAGGAGAAGAAGAAACAGACAGAAAAGGCAAATGGCAAACAAAAGACCAAGAATGTGAGTCTTCGTTTCATTTCCTCATTACCCGAAAGTAATATTTACCCTCTTTGTTTTGTGCCTAACATACATCGCCTTCTCTCTCTGCTTTTCTATTCCAGAAAAGAGAAAAGGCTCAGTTCAGATAACCCGAGCAAAAAAGTAGCTACCAAGAAATCAAAGGTAAGTCAAAAATGGATACTGTTCCAGCATGATAAGATGAGTTGTAGCTAAGACATCTTTTATTGTGTTGTGCTATGCTTTCACCTTCTCAGAAAAACGAAGAAACCCAGGTGGAGGTAATGACACAGACAGCAGAGAAAAAGGCAGGAGTCTACTCTCGTCCCCTCACTTATGTTCTTTGCTACAGGTTCATTCCAGGGCGCAGCAGGAGTCGATGGAGGAGGAATTGTCGGTTGGCTCAGATGTAGAGATTGAAGACGAGTTCGGTTTGAAAGAGCAGTTTGTTAGCTTTGGGTACTACGGACATGATGATGATCACGTCGGCATTGAATCCCTCAGTGAGCTTACACAGCACGTCAGCACTACAGAGGACCTCACCTTCAAACTCCCTTGGATTACATTCAAGAAACTCAGTGAGGTCAGCAAGCGTCCCAACAAGAAAGCCAAAGATTGCGTGGTAGGAGATGTTGCAAGTATGATCAGGGAGGGGAGCATCGATGTAATTAAATCTCTCCTAGGTTGGAAAAGAGACCATTTCAAGGAGGGTGATGCAGCTAGTGAAGAGATTTGGAACTTTGCATGTTCCCAGTTGACTGACCTTTTTGATGACACACAAACTGTGGCCGACCTTGAAGCCGGAGGCAAGCGACATTTCGAAAAAAGTGGCCGTCCTTGGATTCGAAAGCACGTTCGAGCTCTTCCAGGTCATTGATACTATCAAAAACCTTCTTTTATTTGTGAACATGATTTGGATCCTGTAGCCCCTCTGTTTTTCCCATCCCCCCGGGCCATTTCCATTCTACCCCAAAAGCCCTAGAAAACTAGGTATTGACCCCACTATTGACCCTTAAATATTACCCAACCTACGATTCTTTCCACAAATAGTAGTAAAATTCCCGTAGAATCCTCTATTTTATCCCCCAATCCCCTAAACTGCTCTTTTTTTGCAACGGTTTTATAGATGTGTGAATGAAAGCACGACTCTCTTGGGCAGTTCTTTCATTCCCAGTTCCTTGTGGGAGTTGAACCTGACAGGATGTTCTTCGAAGTCAACAGGGTCCACGTCATCACTGTGACTCGTGCTTTTGAAATATGCTGGTGTTGGTGGGACTGAGTCGATCTTAATCGAATAGGTTCGAATTCGATTTGATTTAGAGTGTGGGTTAATGTATTCCTCGACATCATAATGGGGTCTCGTTTTAGAGTCTGGGTTAATGAGACAGTTAATGGGGGTTCTCGTTTTGCAGGAGAGACGTTAGGGCTTAGGTCCAAAGTGTGCCGTGGCATTAAATGTCAATGATGTCATCGCAGCCTTGAGATTTCAAAAAGAGACTGGCTATTTATTTGCTGCTAGTTTCGTCACGCCTGCCTGGTATCCATCTCTAAGTAATTGTCAAGCTGCAAACGATAATTGCTCCAGAAAATCCTTCTGCCAAACAATGAATCGACTCTGCGAGCCATTCTGTGCAGTTTTCAGGTGCTTTTGGCAGAAAAAAAGTCATCTGCCAGAGACAAACACCCTCCCGGCAGAAAAAAAACACCTCCCGGCAGAAAAAGCCATGCCGGCTTTCGGAACTGCAGAGTTCGAGGGCTTCTGCAGAGTGCACGCCAGCCTGCTTCAGGAAAAAAAGTGTTTCTGCGGACTCAAAAAGGGCGTTTCTGCAGAGTTTTTCATTCCCAGTGAACAAACGATCAAGACACATTTCTACCATAGAGGTATTCGCGACGAAGTCCGAAAATAATTGAGCAGTGCGAAGCATGTGCAAAGAACAAACGAGCACGACGTGCTTATGGAGAATCTGCTCCACGTGATGCTACGGCGATGCCCTGGCAGGAAGTCTATTGTGACACAATCGGTCCATGGACAATTGAGTTACGACAATGGACGTTGACTTTCAACGCTATGACTATGGTGGATCCCTGCACAAACTTGTTAGAGATTGTGCCTATCATGCGACGCACGTCGGAAGAAGGTGCCCGAGTGGTCGAAGATACGTGGTTTGCTCGGTATCCTCGACCCAAGAAAGTAGTCACGGACAACGGTCCGGAGTTCAAACTGGAATTCATTGCGATGGTGAAAAAGAATGGTGCAGTGCATTGCTACTCATCCCCTCGTAATCCACAAGGTAACTCGATGATTGAATGGACTCATCAGGCAATTGGTCAAGTATTGCGAACCATTGTGGTCTTGCGCGATCCCAAGAGTGTAGCTGATGGGATCAAGGTCATTTCCGAAACCTTAGCGACAGCGATGCATGCTCATCGTTGTTCCGTGCAGAGTACGAACGCGTATCTCACTCCTGGTGCTCTTGCCTTCAAACGAGATATGTTTCTTGACATTCCTATTTATGCAGACATCCTGGCCGTGCAACGACACCGTCAATCCTTGGTTGACAAACGTTTGCTGCGGGCCAATGCTAAACGCATTTCCTATGACTACGCGGTCGATGATCTGGTCTACAAGCGTGCGTATCTCGGTCTCAGTGATAAGTTGAAGCCTATGGCTTCTGGTCCCTACCGTGTTTCCCGCGTTCATACCAATGGCAATGTAACGATTCAGCTCAGTCCTCACCAGTTCGAGCGCCTGAACATTCGGCGCGTGTTTCCAAAGCATCCAGTACCTCCGGTTGCCACCGGTCCGGGTTATTGAGGTTCCCCTGATTCATTTTCTAAATGTTACTGATGCTCGGCGCCTAGTGTTGCCTCACAGTGAAGGGGAGTGACATACGCACGTGTGTGACGTGGCGCTTTAACGCATCTCACAATATTCCGATCGTAGTTCAATGTAGGTGTTGCACAATCTGCACTTCCAGAGGGGCAACTTTTGTAGTTAGTTCTTGTGGGGGTGAGGTCCTTTGGAGAGGAGTTGGATATCCCAGGTGGCTCAAAAGCGTAAATGTGCCATGCCTGGTGATAGAGCCTGAACAAGGTGACTGACTGGCTTCAGTGGAATACACAAGTTCTGAAGTTCAGCTTGTCAGCCTGTAACTCAAGTCCTTACAGGAACTCTGTTGTTGTTTGTTTGTGGTTCCTCTTGGAGAGGAGTTAGATATCAATGGAGGAGTGGTAACAGTAGTAGGGTCAATGCCAACAAGGACGTCGGGAGAAGCCAATAGTGGCCGGTGAGAAAGTAAGAAATACAGCTGTGTTTCGGTTCTCGCCGATTCGATTCGCGAGTCGATTCAGAGGAATCGATTCGATTCGATTCAAGATTCCTTAGGGGTAAGGTTAACGGGCCTGTTGTTGTTGCGGAATGATCGTTCGATCGTATGAAAAGGGCGACAATGGGATTTCTTGGGCCGTCGGTAGTAAGAGTTCACTGCAGGGAATGGAGGAAACTTGCACTGCTGAGTCTACTGAAAGCCTGGCACTTCTTCTTGTGTTCATTTCTTCCAACTTGGCCGTCGGCGGTCGAGAATAGAAAACCCGCCCGATCTCGTAGGATTTCAATTGGGATGGCTTTCTAATCTGAACCGGAGAAGGCCGCTTTGATAGTCTGCTTGATGGAGAGGTGCGCTTGATAGAGATACCAGAGGAGGTGTCGATCTGTCAACCGGAGGGGCTTGAATGAGAGATAAGAGAGGAAAAAGGATGTGTGTTTTCTGTGATGACGTTGAGTGGATTCCTATAGTAAAACAGTACTCTTCAACAAGATAACAGATAACAGGCTTCCTGAGGTCCTTTCGCTTCGTTTCAATGCTTCCAATGGGTCTATTGGATGTGGTGATGGTATAGAAGTGACCGTCGTATTGTTATCGTTGTTGCTATTAGTGTTTTTGGTTGACAGATCCAGCGGCAGGAGTCAGTAGTTGCTCCCGCTTGGAAAAGTGGTGTTTGATTACCTTCGGATTTATCAGAGAGATACACGAAGGGCTGCCAATCAGGATCAATCTCTGGTTCGCTGAATAGTTTGTGGGAATAGGACTCTTAAGATGAGCGATCAATCTCGTGAACTCGTACCTCGCGTGTACCCATGTTGGATGGCTGTGATAGGACGGAAGCGATGTCACCAGCGAAGGATGGTGGCGTTAAATGCGTCTTGTTGCACGCGAGTTGCAATAGGTTGGTGTCCATCGTATTGGAATTTGGTTTGATGCGAGGACACTTCTAGATTGCTCGTTCATGACGTGGAGTTGCCCGCGTCGACAAAGTCATGGGAGTTGACTGAGTGGGATGGACGTATTGTCCAGAGTTGTGCTGACTACGTCGAACAGCTAAGTCAGCCGTGTAGTCAAGGACATTCTTCTTCCCTTCTTCGAGATATTATCCCATGCCTCTTGATCCGACTTGGAAAGCGACCGTTCATCATGACTTTTCGTGGCCCACGAGTGTCCATCTGATGAGCTTGCAACAGGACCTCCACTGGCGTATCCATGTCATGGACAAATGCCTCGTAGGCATTGTCACAGGTCTCCGCGGTACCATCGTCAAAGATAATTTCGTGTTGGTAGGTACGGTAGCGCGCATTGTTACGGGAGCGTGTAGACGTTGCATGATTTGCAGTTCATGCAGTTGTGCTTGCTCGAGAAGAGCTGCTCCTGCATTTTTCTTGGTTTGCAAAGCGAGACGTCGTACGGGAGCGAGATTTGGTGCTTTTGAAATTGAGCGTTCCAAGAAACGTGCTCCTTGTTGCTCAGCGTACGGCTCGTCACTGATCTCATTGTACTGCCGAAAGTTCTCGAGGAAATTGGAGATGAAACCTGTTTGGGATCCTCTCCTTACACCATCCGTGAGGTCTGCAGAGGTAAGATAAGACGAAATCTTGTCTGAGCGTAGGGTTGCGACCATGGACTTGGAGTAATATCCGTTGATTGCTTTCCAGATCACACGGGTGTCCTTGCCGGCTTCGTTGACAAGAGCGACAGATTGTGCCTGTGCCTCTAAGAAGATGTCCTCGAAGGTCTTGTACATCCATTCTCGTTGTTTCTCGTCGAGTTCGGCGTTGGTGACCGCGAAGTCTGGATCAACGAGGTGGGAGAGACGTTGGGATTTGAGCGTGTTGAGGAAGTTCTTCTTCCATTTGATGAAAGAGGATTCGTCGCGAAACTCCTTGAACTCTGACCGAACGGGCTTGTTGTTCTTGTCCCATAGTGCAATTGAGCGCTCGCCATCGGTCATCGTGGCATCGCTACGTCTCATTTGCTGCCACGGGATGATTTCACCGTGGGGTTGGAAGAGTCCAACTCTGAAAGCATCGAGTGCGGTGGCTGTCAGCGAAGTTGTTGGGGATTCGTGATTAGGGATTGAACCTGTACCTCTGTACTAGAATTTAACACCAGTAGAAAAACAGAGCCCACCCACTTTTTCAGTAATATCTCAATAGCAAACAATGGTAAAATAACTAGAGAGCTTAGTGAATCTAACATACTACTGAAAAAGAAGAAGAGGAGCCTATCAAAAGCAACGAGCCAATGGTAGCAGGAAGATCGTGACGCGAAGACCGACCGAGCATCTGCGGGATCAGTCGACGACGACGCGAGGAACGCATCAGCCGACAACGATGCCGCGACCGTCGCACCGAAGATCGATAGAGACCAAGACTGTCGAAGGATTAACAGCAGCAGGAGACTGTCGAAGGTGACAGCACTAGGAAGCCTGTCGAAGCAACGGCAGCAACAGAAGGATCCGAGCACGGATCGAACGTCGATAACTTTTAGGAGCGAGAGCTCTGGATCCCGTCAGAGATAGCTCCAACAGCTATGCTGGCCTACAGCTCCAGCACCGCAGCTGGCTTATCTCCAGCCAAAGCAGCAAGAAAGGATCGTCCTTTCTACCATAGTTAAGAAAATAGTACGAAAGATTGAGACCGATCCTGATTAGCTTGTAGCCCTTTGATACCGCAGCAGTTGATACCAATCCTGTTGAGGCGGGCAGAAGCAGTAGGAGGTAGCAGATAGTACTGTTCCCAGACTGCCACTGCACGATTGAATAGCGAAGGCCCCCAGCTCCTGAGGAGAGCTGGCCCAAAAGGGCCCAGCAGAGAGCTCTGCTGGCCTCCTGTCTGACTGACAGGGCCAAGTCCTTGGTTTGGTGCCTACTGGAGGTGTTGGAACACTCCTGAGGCACGACAAGGCTCCCTGAACTGCCTGACTACCGCTGTCCTGAGGAAGGGGTTTCAGCGAGATCCAGTCCACTACTTGAGTATTGGAACTGACCCTTCAAGAAACTTGTTGGATTAACAGTCACATAGAATTCAGGCAGTTTTAAGGGAAGGAGAGTCTCCAGGCTGACAAGGAGCTCTCCGCATTACAACAATCAGTGCTACAGCTACAGTTGATTCATTGAATTTCATTGGCATTTTGAGGTGGTTTCAAGGCCCATTTTGAAGTCATAAGTCAGCAACCTTCTGTTCGATTTTGATAGTTTCCAGCCATCACAACAGTACAGAGAACCTTTGACTTAGCCACCAACCACTCCTACAAGGCCAACACAAAGCCCATTGCCTTGACAAAGGACCTTCAACACAACCTCATTGACGACGGCAACAAGCTACCGTTCGTGTTGACACGACAAAAGAACCAATTCATCGAAAGAAAGAAGCACTGGTCCCATCAAACGGACACCTGGAGTCTCCGAGAGAACAGAGACTTATTGTTTTTGCACCCATCTTGGCATCGGACAAGTCTTTTACGTCTCGGTGAACGTGGCTTATCGCTTGTCAATCTTGCAGCGAATTACGTGCTTTATTGGGCATTTGGAGGCTTATATCTTTCGTGATTCCACGGAACCACATCAGGCGTCCGTGCAGTTTTTGTGTGTCACGAGTTTCCGCCCTGTACTGGATTCAGCGACCCACGGAACATCCTGGAACGAACAGAACGTTCTTTCGAAAAGTCGCTCAGCCAATCAAAACGTCCGTGCAGTTTCGGTACTTATACGACGTGCACTGAGTCAGTACCGCGAGTTCCTTTGCGTTCCTGGAAACCTGTACCGGTCACGGATCCTTTGAAGACTTATAGACAAGTTCCCCGTACCGGTTCTTGTCCTGAAAGCAAGCCCACCTCGCGTAAATCCCTGGGCTCACATTTTAAGGTGTTTACACCGTCGAGTCATTGAAAATCGCGATCTCCCGCGGAGCGATCAACCAACACGGAGCACGAAGAGATCGAGTAACCGGAGGACTCACGAGCGACCAAGAGGTCAATTCGCTTGGCTGAAAGTGGTACCACTGGAACCGCAACCCTTCAATTGGTCAGTGGGTATCAAAATCTTCACCTTGGTTTCTTGGAAGAAAAAAAAAAGCTTTTACAATCGTGGGAGATCATTTTGGACCCAAGTTGAACTGGCACTTCCACAGTGTGGCAAATATCTCACAAATCCAAGCCAATTCCCAGCACCATGGCAATTCAGGAAGACAGGTTCCAAAGACCCTTGCTACACGCTAACTTATTCAATTACACCAGATTGAATTTTACCCTAGCAAGGTCTCAGAATCATCTTGTGGTTTTCCAGATTACAGTTGAGCTCAAGGCTTATTGCCTGCTTCAAGAGCCAATTCCAGTATTTCCCAGGTACAGCCACACACCTCTTCTTTGTCGCAAACAGCGGCACCATGTCTTTCTATGGTTTCTACAGCGATGTGAGCGACCCTTATGCACCTGGCTACTCCGAACGTTGGTGGCACCACGAACTACCCTGGGCCCCAAGTCC